GATGTTGAAACGCTCAGCGTGTCCTGGGCAGCTGCAGGAGGCGGGGCTGCAGAGAAGCGCACGCTGGCGCCAGGAGCACGTGGCAGGGCTGCCGGGGTGGACGCGTCAGCCGTGGGCGGTCACTGGAGCCGCGTGGCTGGACGGTGTGGGGGGGGACGCGGCCTCAGGGTCAAGTTCTGCGTGTCCCGAGAAGTTGAGGGGGGGAGCGGACCGCCCACGGCCTCAGGAAGGGGAGGCCGCGCGGTGGGATTTCTCCAGCCCCGGGCAGCTGCGGAGGGGGTGTGTGTCCGTGTGTGTGTCCGCGTGTGCAGAGGGGGTCACTGCCAAGTAGGCGGAGGGCCGGGCTGCCTGGGGGCTGTCTTGCCGGGCAGCCGTGAGGGGTCAGTTTGCTGAGGCTGCTCCGAGGCGCTCCCACCCCTGCCTTCTCACTCCCCCCCAGCCACGCCCACCCTTCCCCTGGCTCGAGTGTGCCCGGATGCCCCCTGGCTCCCCTGCGACCCTCGCTCGCAGCTCCCCCCACTCCAGGTTCCTCTCGGCCAGCCACCTGGAGGCTGGGGTCCTCCCTCAGGCTGGTAAGAGGGGCCCTGCCACGTGCCTCGCCCCAGGCCCACACCGGGGGCGCTTGAGGTGGGGCGGGGCAGGACGGCGCAGGGGGACGGTGGCCCAGGGGGACCGTGGGCGAACTCAGAGCGAGGGTGGCGGCCGTGGCCTTCGGGGTCCAGACTCAGTGGAAGAGCAGCAGAGGCCAGGAGTGCGGGGGTGGGGGGACGGCGGAGAGCGCGAAGGGGGGCGGGGTGCGGATGGGCTGATGGGCCCCTCCTAGAGCGGGGGAGGAGGGGGGGCGGGGGACAGCCCAAGAGGATGCTATGAGAGGAGCCCATGTCCTCAGGGCATGAGCGGAGCGGACAGTGGCGGGGTGGCGGGCCGGAGCGTCTGGGCCGGAGGGACCAGGCCGGTTGGTAGTGCCCTGAGGGATGCCAGATAAGGTCTGGGGAGCAGCCCGGAAGCTGGGAAGGGGAGTCGGGGAGCCCGAGAGGGGCACAGCCTGGGAGGAGGCCTTGGGATGGGGAAAGGGCAGTGGCATTTGGCCGGGAATGTTGGTGGTTGAGATAAAGGGCCTGGAATTTGGGGTGCTGGTCTTCTGCCCAGAGCCAGCATTCCGTGCTCTGGAGAGATGGGGTGGGGGGCAGGGTGGGTCCCAGGAAGGATGCAGAAAACAAGTGCCTGGAACCTCAGGTTCCTTACAGACCGCAGAGCCCCTGCCAGCCCGCCCTTGGAGCCTGGGGAGCTGGGCACCTGCCCCTCCCCCTTCCCACCCGCTACCTCCTCCTCGGGGTCTGGAGAGTGACCTTGAGCCTGGGGAGGCTCCCAGCTTAGTTTCCTTTGTGGTTTGTGTTCTTGTTTTTTTTTTTTTTTTTTTTTGCGGTATGCGGGCCTCTCACTGCTGTGGCCTCTCCCGTTGCGGAGCGCAGGCTCAGCGGCCATGGCTCACGGGCCCAGCCGCTCGGCGGCACGTGGGATCTTCCCGGACCGGGGCACGAACCTGCGTCCCCTGCATCGGCAGGCGGACCCTCAACCACTGTGCCGCCAGGGAAGCCCCTGTGCTCTTGTTTTTAAAGAGACCACCCTCCACCCCCTTATAAGAGCTTCAAGGCCCTGGATCCGACCTAGTGCAACGCTGGAAATTTTAAAAAGTCAACAAAGTAATAAAAGGAGCCCCTCCCCCTCCCCCCAGGTGGGACAGGTGTCCGCACAAGTGTGTGGACACGCTGGCCTTGCCCAGGCCACCCACAGGTAGCTCCCTGTGGAGATGGCTGATCTCTGCCCGTCAATGTGGGTCGGTCAGGATGTCTGTGGCTTCCTGGATCCCCATGAGGAATGAACGGGGCCCAGGAGCTAAGGAGGGGGAGCCTCTCGCTGCCCAGCACCTGGCCTGGGGTGGGCAGGGCTTGGGAGCTCACGGGTGGTCCGGGGCCGGGCCCAGGGCAGGGACGGGGCACAGAGACCCCCGAGGTGGGCGCCCTCCCTCCGTGCTCCTGACCCATCGGCTGTCACCTCCCCTGTGGACGCCTTTCCCCCGACAAGCAAAATACATCCAGCTCTGTTCACAGGGAAACCCTTGAAGCAACGTGGCAACGAGCGGCATTAAGTCTGAGACCCTGAAACTGCCACGCAAGTCGAGGTGCTTATGTTGCACCTACAGTCACGAGTGAGCGTCTGGGCGCCCACCTGCCTATACAGGGCTCCAGGAGGAGCGGGGCCAGCAGGAACGGGGACCACCCCAGGACTCGTGGAGGGGTGGGCAGGTGTCCAGGGAGGCAGGAGCCGCGGCCCTGCAGGGCCCCCTCCGTGGAGCTGCATTCTCCTCCCAGGGTGCACCGCCTGACCCCAGCGGCCCTGTGCTGGGGGCCCAGCTCCCCGCACTCACAGGGCCCAGGGTCCTGGCTGCTGGTCCTTCAGTGGTCCAGGGCCCCAGGAGACAAGAGAAGCTTGGCGGAATGTTTGACTGGCAGCCACTGTGGGCTGCGACACCCAAATAAAGTGACCCTCAGTGGCCGCCGCCTCTGTGTTGCAGCCTCTGGCTGAGGTGCCGGGCCCTGCACTCGGCGCGGTGCTGCAGAGGCCGGTGTCCAGGTGGGGCTGCAGGGCCTCCCGGGGGCAAAGGTGGGTCTGGCAGCTTTACTCAGGGATCCCACGGGACTGCCTGGGGAAGGGCAGTGTGGCTGGGCAGGGGCCCGCGCTCTGGTGAGAGGAGCCAGGTGTGGCAGGGCTCTCTCTGTGGCACTGGGGGCTGACTGGACCATCAGGATGTCCCGCCAGGCTCAGCCTCAGGAGATGCTGGTCCCCGTGCTCTGACCTCCTGGGCATCTCTGAGGCTACTTGGCAGGAACTGGTAACGGGAACCTTCCTGGGACAGGTGTCTGGTTGTGTGTGTACAGAGCAGGGGTGGTGAGGGTGGACAGCAGGGGGTACCCCGGTCGGGGGCAGGACAGCACTCTGCAGCCGTGGGCCACACCACCAGGCACGATCTGTGTCTGAACCCCTCCTGACCTCCCAACCAGCCACGGCCTGCTGTGCACGGCCCATGGCACACCCTTGCAGCCGGGCTGAGCACAGCGGGATCACTGCAGCCACACGCGGTCTCCAGCCTTTTATTCATACGAAGACTCAAAGAACACACGTCACCTGCTGACACTGTGCAGCACAAGGAGACAGCAGGCCTGGCCGCTGCCTGGCCAGTGACCGTGGCAGGGCCGCCCCTTCCAGAGATGCATGTAGGGCAGGGCCAGAGTGCAGGCCGCTCCGGGGCCGTCCGTGTGTAGCTCAAGGGTGGCCATCCTGGCACACAGGTGGTCACTGCCCCAGAGCCCCTGAGAGTTCAGCTAGCCCTCACTCGCAGGGAAGGAGGCCCCAGGCCCAGCCCCCTGCCCAGGGTTACAATGGGGTGGGTGTGCCTGTGAGGCTGGGCTGCCGGCGGAGTGCAGGACCCCACACACCCCAGAAGCCCTAACCAGCGGCCAGGGCCCCCCC